CTCTCTCTCTCTCTCTCTCTCTCTCTCTCTCTCTCTCTCTCTCTCTTTCTCGTGAACGTTTATATATTTTTTTTCTTCTTATAAAAATCCCTACCATTCGATGACAATTCATAATCCTAAGACGTACGACGATACCGTTCTCGTTTCTTTATTTCTAGTCACCCCACGTAATTCTAATCTTCTACACAAAATTCTTTATGGGACTCTATGCAATCTTTAAACTCAACTGTAAGATTCAAAAAGGATACATATTTTAACATATGATAAATAATCAATTCGCTTAATATTAAACAACATTCGACGATTATTTCATTTGTGTATTTTCTTTTTTTTTTGTGTTTCTTTTTTTAAAAAAATATCGTTCATATTAACTACGAGTTAACGGTTTAGTCGTGTTGGGTTACTAGGTTTTTTTTTACGTCATTAAAATGGTTGAGTGACCCTTTTGAAAAAGAAAAAGAAAAAAAAAACAAAAATCATGTGCTGTTGACTTTAAAAAGATGCGACCTCTTTGATAGTTGAAAAGATTGAATAGTATGAAAAGGTGTTAAGGCCGGCGAAACATGTAAACGCCTAAATTTTGATCATTTTTCAGAGGCTTATTTAAAATGGAAGGAATAAATGAATCGTTTTGAAACTCAGCATGTTTATTCATTACATATTAAAATATAAGAATCAATYATGGTGATTTTTAGCAATCTAAAATTAAAAAAAGGGTCGGAGCATGTTCATAAAACATGTATCTTCTAATTGAACAAAGAAAAAACTGAAAAGTCAAAAAATCCTAAATTGGCACGACTCATACAAAAAAGTCTGATTTTTGACCCTTTTTTTAAAACAGTTTTTGGGTCAAAAATGGCAATTATTGAAAATTCTTGTGGCATTTTAAAAATTCAACTAGAAGCTAATACTATAAGGAAAATGTTTGCTAAATTTCATAAGAATCGGTTGAAATCTTTTTGAGTTATCTTTCAGCACACTTTGAAAAAAGTCGAGTTGAGGCGGTGCACTTAAATGAATTTTTAATCGATAAATAATGCGAATTTCATTCTAAAAATTTACACGCATATTTTTAACACATTAAAGGCGGGAGTCGTAGTACTACGATTTATCTCGACTGTAGCTTAAAGGAGGAAATTGTATTAGTACGGTTTGCAACCACATTGCGCAATTAATGCGCCACTTTACATTTGTATTTAGTATGTATGGGCGGTCGCCGCGTTACCTAGCATACTTTCGTCAAGATCAACCCCCCCCCTGCCTTTAATGGGTTAAGATGGTAAACTAACTATTTATGAAAAAAAAAAGAAATTCGCTTTTTTTTTTATTTTACATGTATCACCGGCCTTAATAAAGAAATGACTCGAATCCTTTAAAAAAAAAAAAAAAAAATAAATAAGATGAATAAATATCCATGACATATACTTATTTAAAAATTGTAATGTCATGTTACGTTGAAACATTAACAGCAGCACGTTTAAATTATCAATTTTTTTCCAAATCTTATTTCTTATCAAATTATTTATATACTAATTGTGCTAATTACGATACCATCTTTACATGGAAACAAAATTATGTACATGTTAAATCTTAATCACGACACTAACAGTAATGGCAGAAATGAGTTGCAAAAAAAATTACATCGTAAATTTAGCTCCTAAGTGAATATATAAAAAGCAAAAAAAAAAGAAAAGAAAAAACTGTAAGAAGGGGTAGAGTAGGAAGATGTGGTAAAAATTCTTGGGGTTTCTCCTGAACCCTTCCCCCTCCCTCTCCCTCTCCCTCCTCCTCTCCCTTCCCTACTCCTTTTTCTGCTCATTCTCCTTCTCATCGTTTCCCTTACAAAGTCGATTTATCTTCAAGGAGTAACAGCGCGTGGATCGTATTGGCGGAGGTGCATTTCCGGTGCAACCGAGTATACGTTCCTGGAGGGATACTAACGAAGCAGGGTAGTGGGGTAGGGTGGGGACTTAACGTACACAGCGTCCGGTCCATCCCTCCCCACTATACTCATTTTCTTCACTTCGTCCATAGCGTCCCATAGACAGTGGACACCATGCACTGCTATCAGAACAGTCCCAGGTGGACCCTCGTGCAGTCACTATAATACACTCTATGTTCGGTGAATTATTTCTATGGTATTCCGGTTGTAATATTTAAAAGAAAGAACTATACAGTATTCACCATAATCTAGAGAGAGTACAGTGTGTGATTAATTAAAAATAATTTCTTTTCTCATATATATATGTCATTTGTATTCTGAAGAATGAACAATTTTTTGTTGAATCTTTTTGTAACATGAAATGATAAAATTTCAATCGGACAAATCGTGAATGCTAAAGTGGTATCAGTGAAGTCTTATAATTAAATCTTGTTAATGGATTCTTTAAAATTCCAATAATTTAACCGGATCACGTATCAATGGAATTCGATAATCTCATTGGAGCATTGAAAGAAAATCAAGAAATCAATGGAGATTACTTTTATTTGTATTTGCTAGTTAATCAAGCGTCAAATTAGTTCAATTATTTCTAAACGATCTAGGTGAAATTTAGAAAATGTATACATACCTGACTTTATCCATTTAGGATGAACGATAAGACTTGAATCATCTTCGTTCCTTGTGTTACACATAATATTCTAATAATCGAACTTTTTATTTATTGATTCTTAAGTAATTAAGACAAATATCGAAATATAATAATATTTTTATAAATAATAACGATCAAAATGATAATTTGTCTTCGTAATTAAACAAATAGTCAATTTAAAGCAGAAAAACATTGAAATATTTACAAAAATATTTCTAACAAATTCAAATTAAAATAATAATTAATATTGAAAAGATATATAGGAACATTAAAGTTACAATTAACATCAGTGTGTTCGATCAACAAGATATCGAAGAAAATCGAATAGTTGTTTATCGATTTATCAATTGATCATCGGAACGTTGGTTGTCCGTATGTTTACAGACAACCCCTCGTATTTCTCGTTGTCGGTGTCAACGTCGTCGACGGGCACGACGACGACGACACCATCGTCAATTTGTCCATCCTCATCGACGAATCACACGCACCGTCACAGACACCCTGGCTTGACGGGTTTATTTCGACGTCGAGCTACCTGCAAAATGGGTGCCACGTCTTCTACCAGTGTGACATCAGCTTCGACAGCTAGTACTTCAACAAATCATCAGGAATCATCTAGTCATCGAATAAGTGGATCCAGTGGATCTACGCCGTCAACGCCAACTGAAGAAAGGGTACCCATGTTGTCCAGAAGCGTTGGAAACGGTGCCACATCCGGTCCGTTTAATCAAAGAAGAAGCTTTAGAAATTTATTTAGATCTGTTAGTGCAAATGATCACGAAAGGACTCAACAATTTCTCAAAGGTGATCCTAGACCCTCGGATGTTGCACCAACTTATTTACCTCACAGGTAAAAATCTATTTAATTCTAATTACCTATACGTATTTCTTTCCAAATTAATTGAAAATGATTATAAACTATAATTATATATTTGTTATATAAAAACACTCGTAATCTCAATAGTATTATACATCATATATATTATATTATGTATTAAACAAATTCCATATCTTGTAATTATAATTTTATGATATCAATGACATAATAATCAAAATCTAATCACAGATCACATTCACACTCCGAGAACGACAGACGTCGTCCTGCTCGTAATAGACGAGTCCTCAAATCCGCTAGTGAACTTCTTTCAAACGATATGGTTTACTGTGGACTTTCCGGTGATGCCAACGACCAAGAAGACGATGACGATGAAGATTCCGCGGAAGAAGTATTTCTTGGTGTTGATGATGCAAAGTTAGTCAAATATTTTCTCTATTTTTATTAATATCATGTAAAGGAATTATTGTTTATATCGCTTTCTTTTTCAATCAATTTCTAAAGTTTTACTACATAATTTTATATATATATGTTACCGTGAAAGGTTGAAATTGAAGAATGTCTAGATTGTTACTGTATAATGTCTGAAATATTAATGTATCAGAATGTACTGAAACATTTCGTGTTTCATCGACGTATTTGAGATGAATTAACATTCAACCATTTGTATCTTGACATTCTCCAATTTTGTTATTTCACGGTAATATATATATAATATACTAAGAGTGCCCCACCTCGCGTTGCTGTGGCTCACAATCAGTCCGATGCATACGTCTTTAAGTCAATTGCGATTATAAATAGAGATATAAACTATCCTATCTTTCAAGTTGAATGAGACTGCACACAGTGTGCAAAATTTGATTAAAATCGGTTCAGTAGTTTAGGAGTCCATTGCGGACAAACAACGTGACATGTAATTTATATATATATATATATATATATAAATAAAATCCCTTTCGCTACGGGACGGATCTCCGCCGAGGTACTCCCGCAGTACGGCGCGCTACACCGAAACAGTGCACANGGTACTCCCGCAGTACGGCGCGCTACACCGAAACAGTGCACAGTGCACGCAACGTTCGAGCCGGTGTCGTAAGACTTATGATCGAGGCATTTGGTTTATTATTGAAGCCCGTAAAAAACAAATGATGCAAAACGAAAGACTCATGCGGCATGTTTAGAGTGAGTTACTCTGTGCATAGCAACTGCAGGCGCTTATCATATATACAATTACGCGACATCTTTAGCGGGAGCGACTATAGTCGCCCATAGTACCTGAGCGGCATCACATGAAAAGCGACTATAGTCGCCCGTAGTATCTGAGTGGCATCACATGGAGAGCGACTATAGTCGCTCCTAGTAGCGAAAGGGTTAAGATTACCTACGTGATTTGTGAAACCAACAAGTCAACTATTATAAAGCAAGTATAATTTTTCATTGGTTACAGGTACTATAATTTGTCATCAACCTTGCCGTCACCGGGATCAGCGGCATCAGGTCAAAGAAGACACTCTGTCGGTACTTTTCTTGGAAAAGATCGAAATCATTGTTCCGGAAGAAGACCTACTCAAACAGTTGAAGTCCTAGTAGAACCTAGCGTTATGGCACCACCAATACCAACCGATGCAGTTGATGGTATCGTTCATGCCGATGACAGAAGGAACAGGTCGAATGATTGTCGATTAAGGCGTAGAAGACACAGAAGTTCATCAAGTAAAGGTAGGTTATATTATTATTATTTTTTTTTTCTTTTTACATCATATTGGTGATTGTTCGTAAAAATGTTGCCTACTAAAAAAAAATATTTCAAAGCATCTATCTTTTTTATTCGTACTATTCGTATTCTAACATAATAGAACAAAATAGAATTGTAATAGGTGGCTTTATTTTGGAACGATTTAAAAACGACAGAAAGAGATCGACAGACCGGCATTCTATTTTGATTAATGTTCAATGATAATTATTATTATTATTATTGTTATTATTTTATACGGTCATTCAATAGACAAGTCGCGTGTTCCCACGGCGTGCATTTCGTGAACAGCTTACCCGCATAGATCGCAATCACAATAGTCTCGTTACGCGATTGACACGCTACATAATTTGCGAGTAAAGAATTAGAAAGAGAGAGAGAGAGAGAGAGAGAGAATTGTCAAATTGTGTCAACGAGTTGTACAGACTGATACGACAAACGATCAATTCTTCAGTTATGTTAACGCTCGATTTTATGAAAACGAATTATTTTCGAATTATTCATAAGCACGATGATTAGAGAAAATGAACGAATTCCAAAGTGAAAATATATTTTATTTTTTTTGAAAAATATATTTATACAAAATCGGAGTACCTACCTGAGACACGATAATTTCTAATAAATCATAAATAATGTATTATTTAAAAATATTAAATTATACGAGTATTATATGAACGATTTTTAATTGCAGTACAAATTTATAAGTTAATTATAAATTATAATAATAATTTTAATATTAATAATTAATATTACAATTATATTATATATAATATAATAGTATTATATATTATATATTTAATTAAATATAATTTAAAAAAATATATTATAAAATTTTATATAGTAAATTGTATATTAAATATTTTAATATTAAAATATTTTTAAAAAAGTATTATAATTATATTATATATAATATAATTTATAATTAATTTATAAATTAATTATCTAAATTTTAATAATAATAATTTTTATATTAATAATAATATTATAATATAATAAAATTATAATATAATATTATAATATAATATAATTATATTATACAATTTTATAATAAATAATATATTA